GCCACCTTCTGTGCATTCTTTACTGCAAAAATTGTCGTCCAAACACAAAAATTTTGTTTCACTATTTTAGAGACATCTATTTAATTTGCTTCACGTTCGCTAAAGTGACCAACTATACTAGGCAGCTATTGGAATTCAATTATTACTTCAAAGAACACTTATTTGAAAAAAACCTTTGTAATAATGATTATTTTTTCCTAATGTATTAGATGAAAACTATTTTTAATAGAACTTTTTATGCTCTTTCATGTTGATGAATTTGAATGAATGCAGTTCACGTTTGTTAAGGAAAGATTTTATCATAATACAAAGTTAACCTTAGGATTCCAAATATAAAACATTAGAGCATTTATGTTTGACCTGAACAAAATATATTTCTTTTCGAGTCCGAGGGTTGTACTTGAATAAGCAGTAGGCTTTTAGATTTGAACGGTGAACAGTTTGAACTTTAGAATAGTGTGTTGCCGGGGTAGTTTTTCTTTTTATTTTTGTGGGGCATTAGATCTAACAGATGTAGAAAGTTTGACAAAAATAAAAATTGGTTATTAAACCATTTTAAGCCTTCCAGATATCGGATATTATTGTTTAATTTGTGCTGGAAAAGAAAAAAGCAAAAGATTCTTAGGACCGGAAGTAAAAATAAGTGCTGAAACATCGTAATACGTAATGGCTTTATTTTTTAACTACTGAAGCGTAAATGATCGTTAAAAGACTAAGCAAAGAGTACAATAATTTCAAGTAATTTAATAAATTTGCCTACCAGCTTTTATGAAAATTTATGAGTTGGTGGAAGTCACTGTCAGCCATTCAGAAAAGTTACTTCTAATTAACTCATTTGCTGTCTTGTAGGACCCTTTAAAAATTATATTTTTACGCTGCATGATCTACATTTAAGCTGGTGTGGACTCAAACAAAGTAGGTTTCTTTCCTACGTGCTGTGGAATTTCATCAAGAGATTCTTCTTATTTCATTTCAACAGTTTCTAACTGCTGGGTTTGTCCTCTGCTGTTCCTTTTTTTGCTCATTCAGTACTGAAGTTTGAGCAGAGCAGAAATTAGTTATTTGAGGCTATTTTTTTCCATATTTAAGAATGAATGCAGGAAAATTTCGTTTAGAGAATTTAAGGACCGATATCATTAAACTGAATGCTTTTTAGTATCCTTATGGTTAGTTGTAGTTGCAGAAGAGTTTTGGTCGTACACTTGTTACAGGTCGGCTATCTCTGTCCAAAAGCAGGTCTCGATAGTGTTTCCTGGGTAAATACTATACCGGAAGATACGAATAATCTGTACGTATTTGCTTTGCACGGTAAGAGTCGGCACTGTGCACTCTGGGATTACGATTCTCTATTGAAGAGCAATGCTAATTTATTTGAGGTTAGTCCAAAGAGGTTGAAGGACAATGAGAAATACGTTGTTCCTGAGGAAGGGTTGTCAGCTTTGAGGGGTCAATGTGTGATTGTATCGTTGTCTCATGCCATCGTAGAATGAAGATTTCATGTGCTTGAAAGCTTTTAAAAAGAAATTGACTGTGTTTTTTCTAAACCGTTTAATTTTTTCTGTAGTCTAACTTTATATTTTTTGCTGTTTGTCTATTATCTTTTTTTTAAAAGTTTTTTTTGGGCGATTACGCAATGCTAAAGAGAAATGGTGCTTTTGTAATCCAGGATCTCAGTACTTGCTCATTACCACTGTTTCATTTATTTGAAAAAAAAAAAAGGTTTTACTTCTTAATGATGTCGGATACTTGTTTTTTATATTAAGTCTGACGTTTGTAACCGATTGTATTTTGAATAAAAACTGTATATATATGTGTGTCAAAACGATGGGCGTGGTCATCGAAGGTTATCGAAAATTAGTCGTTAAGCATTGCACAAACATGGCATTTTAGAAGCATAAGGCGCGTTATGATTAAATAGTCGCATAAAGTAGAGCGTAAATAGACGGTTTCCGGAACTTTGTATTGCTTTTCTCTCAGCACCTAGATATCTCTCTTGGTCTTGATATTTCTTTGCGGATTGTTTGCTCATATGGGCCTATGTGACGGAAGTAAGTGCATGACCAAAAAAAACTATGAGTGATTATCACTAATACCTTGCTGAAACTTAGTCCTGGATCAATAGAACTGACCTTTGAAAGTTGGCAAAAAAAGAAAAATCAGGAGCGGAAACAGATTTTTAAAAAAAAATTTAACAGACTGAAAGCAACAACAATGTTTTCATGAGAACAATAATTTGTTTGTTTTGGTATATTGTTGCTTTTGTGGCAGCGAACAATTTGTGAAACTTAGGTGCAAAATCGATTTGATAATTGCTTGACAAGTGGGTAGTAGCTCGGTGAACGGGCTGTTTCCACATATAGACATATCTTTTCGTGGCTAACTCATGATCCAACCCGTTAATATACTTTTGAGCGGTAATCTTTCTTCCTCTTTTTTTTTCTAATTTCATTTAAATTTGTTGAAGGCTGGTATTGCAAAATGATTTATTTTGGTATTAGTTTTTAATGAATTGCAGTTTACGTACTGCTGATACAAGAAAGAAGGACAGGAAAATTAGCATTAAAAAATTTCTCTTTACCTGATTTGTAAATAGTCTGTTTGTTGTTTGAAAACGTCTACTGTGTCAAAAATAATTTAAATGTTTCTGTTGTTATCAAAAATTACTTAAATTATTGCTGTGAAAGGTGCACTTTCTTCAGTCAACTAGGCAAACCTGCGAATTTCTAAATTTCTGTTGTGCTATTGATAAAACAGTAAAAATCCAGCAAAATAATTCCATTAGTGCGAACATACGTCTCGTGGCGAAGTAAGCCGACCTTTAAGGATCGTGTTTTTCTGATTCCTTTAGTGCCAGAATCGTTCATTTGAAACTTTTATGCATTTCTTCAGCCTTTTTAATAGTAAAAAGAAGTGAAGAAATGATTTAGAAAGCACTTTGTTTATTCATCTATGCCAGTTTTTGGAAGCCAAATTACTTGACCTTCTGCGTTGCAGGGATTTGTCCACGAAACGACGATGATCAACGGGGATGGAAGTTAGTTCAAAAGTCACTGCCAAGAATTCTTGAATATGGCAGAGAGGAAGGCATACTTAAAGAGCGAGTTAGTTTGTTTCCCTTTTAGTCGGTATTTGGCACTCATTAGAAATGCTTAATTTTTTTATACAAATAAATTTGTGCTTTGTTAAATCAACCTGACATACTGTTTTGTCTGCATATTGATTTTATGAGACAAGGCCCTGTCTAAGATCTGATTTCCATCTTTTCTGATTGAATTTTGCAATGAATGGACTCGAAAACTTTTGCTTTTGATCAAGTTTACAGTTTTAACTTTTTGTTCACATCTGAGGTTGTTGGCTTCTATTTGGTGTTTCAAAGTGTCATCCTCATGGCTGGTAATTCAATGATTGAGGTGGCAACCTTTAATCTTCCGGGCTTATTGCTTGAAGGGGCTGATGATACGAAGGTCGCAAAGGAACAGAAAACTGAAGATAAAGTGAACCTGCCAACTAATGATATTACCGTCATGCATGAAGCAATACCGTTCTTGCCAGTACCCATTGCTTTACTGTGCTTAACTTTCAATATACTGCTTCCTGGCTTTGGTAAGATAATTAGTTAGTAACTGTAGACAAAAAGTAACCCTAGTTGTATTATTAAAGGAGTGAAAAAATTGTCACTGAAGACTTCCTGAAGTTTTGGATTTTTTCTGACAGAAGGATGCTGATTAGACGGTAGTTGATTGTCACTGGTCTGACAAAATCATATTTCTGGCCTCTATTTTGCTACTTTCTTGAGAGTTGCCAACCAGTTTACATCGCTATTTCTTGTGTCATGACCTTTTTCTTTTTCTCTTGTCATAATTTTGAAAAGAAGCAGGAGATATGCGTAAAGAAGGTACTGGTGATCTATATGTATTTGAGGTACAATATTAAGTGGCATATGCGGTCTTTGTATGGGACAGCCACGTATAAACTTCAAAGAAGGTAGAAAGTTGATGACTCTTCTTGTCAACTTTTTAGTTGGAGTCAGTCAATTCTTTACCATAACATTTCTGTTTGTCGGATGGTTTTGGTCCATATCTTGGGGAATACTCATAATTATACATTCCAGTAATAACTTTTTGAACTTCCGTACTATTTAAATGATTTGTATATTAAACACTTCTTTTGATAAAGAACTGAACAACCATAACTGATACAATTTACTTATCTACCGTTGAGTGTGTACTAAAACTTACTGTATTTGATACTGTTTAGTGCAATATCGAGAAGCGTTACAGCAACGTCGACAAGAAGCAGTTGCTACCGCAGCTATTGAAGCACTAACCAAAGATTCAATACTCCACCGGCGTGACGTTAAAACTTTGGTTAAGTCGAGCAAAAAGCCTAGGGAAAGTCAAAGCTAGTACCCGTAGAGTGTAAAGAAACTGAGTAATTATTATATCTGAGGTATTTAAATATAGGGTAGAAAATGATTAGATAAATGAAATTGTTAATGAAAACTTGCAAAGCTGATTGGAAATTTATCAACATATTTAACTGCAGTTCAAAATATGACTTAAATCAATCGAAAAAAAAAAATTATACTTAACAATTTGTTATTTGGAAAAAATTTCTCTTACTTTCAAGTTAAATTTTATGGCTGAAAATTGTTAAGAATTGACCTTTATATTTTGTTAAAGTTTTGTTGCAAATTGTAATTTCAAATACATAGAAATTTTTTGCTAAAGCATCAAATACAGATACAAAATACACCTTAAGGAAGGAATGGGAGAATGAAATATCGTCTGTGACAACTTTTGAAATAACTTTATGATGAGCAATAACCCAACTTGACACACATTGCACTTGGCTTAACATTGTCGTTATTGACAAATGAGCCAAAAAGATCATTGAAGTGATCCTTCATTAGCTTACGGCAGTCTACGCGTGCTTCCTTGTTTGGTACTTCATCGCAACTTACTGACATGCTAGATCCAAGTTCTTTCTAAATTATAGTTATCACCAAACAAAGTATGCAATTTTTACAATTTTTATACACTTTTTTGTCTCCTGCTTTCAGAATACCGATCAGAAAATATCTTTTCAGCCAACTTAATCAAAAAACAATTTGTCTGCATCCCGAGAGAATCAGTCATTTTTCTCCTAAATAGAATTTAAAGAAATGCATCATTTATTCCTCTTTGTCCCACTTGTTTTATTGGCTTAAAATCTGTGGTTTTATGACGGGCCTAGGTATAAAATATGTAAAAGCGGCAAAAAACGGAGAGGACATGGTTAAATTTAAAAGTACAAACTAGGGCTCCAGGTGTACTTTGCAGCTTATCGATAACATGTGTCAGCGTCGATTTACATAGTCCGCAGCTGATAGATTCGCCATAGGCTAAGACGATCATCGTTGCCAGTAACCACAGCTTGAGCATTTTTGAAGTAGCCTAAAATCAAAGTTAATAGTTGTTTCCAATTTTTTCCTTTCGTGCCCTTTTTTTTGGACCACATTGCTGTCAATTCAAATCAACCAGAGAAAATTTTATTATTTTGAAAAATGTATAGTAAAAATAAGGAAAAATCCGTTTTTTTTCATACGCTTTCTTACATTTTTTTGGACTAGAAGTCTAGTCAAGTTTTGTTTTGGGGAAGTGGTAAAATTGGTAAAGAAATGAGGTGAGACATAGCAATTCATTTATTACCAGTGTTGAACTATTTACAGTGCTATATACTATATATTACATTATGTTTTTTTGCTTATATTATATATTACATATTATATATTACATATTATATAT